CCAGATACAGAACATTTATCTTTTTTCTGTACAGAAAGTATATTAATTATATCAACTGTGGTGTGCTTTTCCATCACACACCCAGTGTGGTAAGCTTCACATTTTCATGAATCTGTTTGAAGTACAGTATTCTTTAAAAACAAAATAGTTTCTATTTCATTATCCACAATAAGGGAGCTTTCCATGATGATTGTCTATGCTCTGTACTGAGAAACCTTACAATTATATTCTTATGCACGGTTCAGTGCTTATAATGAATGTTCTACAGCATGTGTGCTTATTGTGTTTTAGTACACAATATTAATAATGTGTGAGGTATTATTTTTGGTTCCACACAAACCTTGAACGTCTGTAAAAAGGTTGGAGTGTTCAGGAAGAAATTCCCATATTGTTGAATATCCGGACAAAAAGGCATTCCTCTAACCTTCTTCAGCCCTTCTGAGATCACTGTTTTGTATTGCTTGGTGATTCTGAGCTGCACTACCTGTTGTGCCAAAGGAAGAAAGTAAGCATTAATTCAATAGTTTTCTGTTGTTAAATAACATAGCCATGATCTCTTACTTTTAAGTAATACAATCAAACCCAGCTAGGTCAAATTAATACATAACTATGAGGATGCTTAATTGCTTTCACTAGTACAGTCAAAGTGATTTGTTTGAAGGTGTGCTGCTTTTTAGAAGCAGCATTTGGAATGAACTAATTAGATATCAATTTAAATGGTAAATGCCCTGCAGCCATCTCATAAGAGCCTTATAAAATGTGGTTGAGAATGAACTAGAACCTGAATTGGCACCCAAACAATAATTTCTTTTAAAGCTGGAAGCAAAATTGTAATAGCATTTTTTTATCTTCAAAAAGTAGTTTAAAGGCACGGGCTTGTAATAGCTGCATGAAGTGATTGTTTGGATCATGTCAAGGAGTACTCTAGGAAGCAAATAATAAGAGAAAAGAAAGTAATAACAGCATAACAGAGCTGCAAATGAAACTGGAACTCATACTGTAGGTTTTTTGTGACATCTACCAAACGGGTTCAAAGACCTACTTCAACTCTAGCCTGAGCACCTGTCTGTGTGGAGTTTGCATGCTTCCCTCTTTTTGTGTGGGCTTCTTCCAGGTGCTATACAGTAGCTTCCTTCCTCCTCACACCACATGGCCATTTGATGTACAGGGGTCCAATCCAGACAGAGAACTCTCCATGTTGTGCCCTCAGCTACCAGGATAAGCAGCTTACTGAAAATGGATGAATGGAAGATCTGAGAAAAGATTGCTAGTGTACCACAAACCAAATTAATTAGACACAAATTAATTAATAGACCATTTCAAGGATTACTTCAGGTAAATGAGAAAAAAAGAGCAAAGTCTTCAACGTTATCCTCCAAGTAGCTCAACACCACTGATTGAATCATAATACAAATTGATTTAACCAACTCTATCTGTTCTTTTATCCTTCCTTTCACTATACACAACAAAAACTGAAATCCCATCGAATAAACATACAAGTGTGAAATCCTGCAAAAGATACTTACAGATAGTCTACCATTTGGATGGTGGGAAGGTGTTTTGGTTGCAGCTTTTAAAAGAACTGGAACTCAGGTCTTTGCCACAAGAAATGTGTCTGCTTTCCTTTTTTTTCTCGCAACCTGTTGATGAAATATACCAGGAAAACATACTACCAATTAAAAATACAGAAATATAGACATTGTATAATTGTTCCATATACTGTATTCAACAAAATTGTAAAGTTTTTAAAAAATATATTTAATGCAAGTAATGACCTCAGACTTACTGAAACAAGTACAATAAAATGATTGAAAAAATATTACTATGATATAAAACATAAATGATCATTCAAGTTTAATACAATTAGTTAAATTCATAAATGAGCTTCTGCTATCTTCTAAGAATAGGGTCCTTTATTTCAATGCATCTTGTCAGCCTGTCTGCTTCTTCTAAAGCTACAGTATAAGAAACCCACATTAAGCCTCTACCTTCCCTTTTCGAAATAAAGGCCAACGAAGTTAAAAATAGATTAAATATAGGGTCTATTTTATTCTTGTGTAGCACCTGTTTGATAAAACGTAAAAGAATGGAGCAGTTCCCTTATAACAGACAACTAGAAGAAACTAAATTAAACTAATTCAAAAACTGGATTTTCTGGTAATTTTCAGCTCTTTCAGAGACATCAGTTTTTTTTGTGCATCATTACCATTATAATTACTAATTTGTCAGTGAAATTATGGAAGAAAAAGTTTAGTCATTCAAGCAGTGGAGTGAAAATGTTTGAATTTGACCCTAGGTTTAATTATGAAAACCCAAAGTTCAGATACTGTTGAAAGGATGATCATCCTAGATGTGAATTTGTCTGAAAGATACAGTAACTTGCTGTAATGTTAGCATGTATTACTGTAGATCACCTCAGCATTTGGCAACTTGATCTACACATACACAAGCACACACATTATATTACGGAGATTAGTTTGTAAAAAATCTCAGATGAATCAAATATTAAAGTGAAAAACACAATCCAAAGTTTCTACTTTGGGGAATAATTGGCATCATTGCCCGTTATTGAAATACAGAATTGTGGTCTATCAACTCGACTGATTGATCAGATTGCATGCGTATAACACTATTCATCCCAATACATACCAAAGCAATTCAGATTTCACAGAAAAAGGTAAACTGAGTATTTAGAACAATATTTAATGGCCCATCCTCCAGCTGTTGACTCTGTTATCCCCCTGTTCATGTTTTTCTATCTGCCTGATGGTATATGTATTTGTGTTAGAAAAATTAATACATACAGCTATATCAGTATAAACTTGTTGCAAAAGTATTTTTTTAGTTTTGTGCAGCAACAACACAAGCAGGATAAACACTTCAACACAATGTTGTCCCAGTGAAAGAAACAACCAGTACAAGAGTATTCTGTATACCAATCATCCCTCATTTCTTACTTGAAGAAATTCCTCAGCAATTGCTCAAAGTTCCAAAAGGTTTCCAAAGGACAGGCATTTTGCTCATGGTAAAGAAATAAAAGAAAAGATAAAGAATTGAAAAAAAAACATTCAAGGGCTTTCAGTGTACTGTATAAGTAACCCAGGGAAACAAGCCTGTGGGCGTCAGAGAGAATTAAACACTTAGAAGCACTTTTGCAGGTTTAACCTTTTAAAAAATGTCCTGCTGGAAAATAATGTGCAGCAATGAGAACAATAATGATGATGGAGGACCTGCAATTTTGCATTTGTAGAGCCGCCCACAGCCGCTGTGGCCAGGGGCGCAGGTCAGCACAGCTCATTCGGAACTGGGAGTAAAGCTCTCAAAAGCTGAAAGAAATTTATCATACTGTGCTACCCGAGCTTTTCTGACCAGAGCCTTTATTTGGCCTGTCCTAGACTCTGTAATTGAATAATTGGATGCAAGCCTGACAACATGGCTCCACTGTTGCCATGAAAGTCTGAGATCATTGAAGTTACTGCCGTCCCTTTAGATTACATTACAGTATGTCTGACCTGAATTCAATTAAATTAAAATTGCAGTATGTGAGGTATGTCGGAATGATCCAGTCAACTACAATGCTAATGTCTCGCTATTTGACAGTGCATTATTGCTGTTTCATACACAGAAATATTTTATTTTTGATAAATAGACAGATAGAAAGACAGATGGATAGAAATATTAATTATCTATTACCCTATCACAATAGTCCAGTAGAGCTCCATCTCCCTTTGCATTATGACTAGATGAGAGCTTATTAACCTTCATACCCTGAACCCATTGTGATTGTACAGTAGGCTCTTAACTTACACCCTACCTGAAAGGCTGTTTCTTCTATTCGCTTAATAGGCAGAACGATATACTGTAGGAAGGTAGATATCTAGGTAAACATCTACTTATTTTTATCATTTCATAGCAATGTTCTTTTCCCACAGCACTATGAAATTTAATTTATAAATCAATACACTGTTAAAAAGGGATTTTGGATCATCTTTCATCTACAGTATGTGTGTTTCACATAGACTTTCACAAGTCTTAATTTGTCATAGCTAGATGGCTGCAGAGCAGAAACAATATTGCTGTCAGTTCCTGTTTCAGTGTGATTGACTACTTGAAGCTCTCAGGTGTTCAGTTCAGTCTTTGAGCTTTACATAAAACAACACTACAGCAAGATCATATCTCACTGAGAGCACTGCAGTGCATTCAGGCCAGCTGAGTATAACTGTACAATAAAGGAGGTTTTCCAGGCCATGCAAACACTTATTTCTTCCCCAGAGGCCTTTGCTGCTGGACAGGTCAAGATCCAGACTTGTCTGTTATAGATTAAAATAAATCTTTGCCCACAAATCATCAGTAAACCATAGGTAAATCATCAGTAGTTGAAGAAGCAGAAGCAATTGTGTGCATATGTGCTATATCAAAAAAGAAATTGATACTATATGTACAGTAGTACATATCAACTGCTTTAGTATAACGTAAAGCAGAAATTGGCATGTTCTTAGAAAATAGACAAGAAAGTTGCCTAAGAATGAAAGACAAAGAGCTCCAAGGTGAAATGCAGACAATTTGAAAGTTTGTTAGTTGGTGTGGTGATTAAAGTGCCAAAGTTTCCTGTAAAAAGATTCCTGGCTTAAAACTGTACACTATAGCACTGTACCTCTGCCCTTTTAATATGAGAAACTAAGATTCTTTGCAACAGTAAGCACTGATTTATAGTTCATCCCTGATCTCAGTAAATGAGTTTTGCTCCACCAGCTTTTGAGGGTGCTACAGTGTCTGTCTACTTTAGAGGTAGCCTGAAAAATGGATGTCTCATCCAAGGTTGGCAGCAGGCATGGAAATTAGCTACTTTTTTTGCTCTGGAAGGTAGTGGCAGATTTTTTTCAAGGCTCTGTAAGAAAAATTAGTACACTTTAAATCCTTTAGCACCATTATTAATCACAGCAAGTTTTTGTATAGCCATCAGTCTTATTTATAAATATTGTCTTTATTTTCATTCACAGACCAATGATGCCTTAGGCCCAACATGGAACTGGTTGTATTTTATCCCTCTAATCATCATTGGGTCCTTTTTTGTACTTAACCTCGTGCTGGGAGTTCTTTCAGGGTAAGTTGAGCGTCACAGTTTCCAGTGTTGTTGGTTTTTAGGCTGAAATGAAAACGAATGCTGAAAAGGAAGATAACAATGACAGCAATACAATAACTGCTATAAAAAATAGTATAAAGTATATTTTACCCATTCAAAGAGCTGACAGATGTTCTAACAGGAGACAGCATGTCTCGTAGATTCTTCTCAATACATTTTGTCCTTCTTGCAGGGAGTTTGCCAAAGAAAGGGAGCGGGTGGAGAACCGGAGAGCCTTCATGAAGCTGCGCAGACAGCAGCAGATTGAGAGAGAGCTGAATGGATACCGAGCCTGGATAGACAGAGCAGGTAATGGTGGCATGGGCGATATATCCAGCCTGTCTTGATGTAATACGGTGTGTACCAGAAAATAATAATCTCAATCTACTGCAGGGTGGTCTTCTGTAGTTGCCATGAAGAGCAAGATTCCATCAAATCCAGTGCAGCAACAGAGCTGCATTGTGTTTGTGATTGTCTTAGAACTTTCTTCTACTGGACTGACGCTACAGAACAAAATTTGAAGAGGGTTGTAGGGGATAAATAACAAATTCAAACATATTGTATTAACTAGATTCATTTTGCTTTTTAATTATTAGGAAATTATTTATTTGTGATAGGAGATGTATGTTTTATTTAACTTGACATTGCACAACACATTTCTTAAAAAGGGTGTGAAAATTGTTTACCTGTAGATATTGAAACTTACAGAATTAACAATGAGTAATTTTCTCCAATGAGTAATGGTATGTGTCCACCATATGTCTGCATGATTTTTTGCTTCAAAGTGTTTCTTAATGATTGAACAGTGATTAGGATTACTGTCTCACAGTGCTGGGGCTCTGATTTCAATTCTTGGGGTATTATCTGCATGGAGTTTTCATGTTACCCTTGTGTCCATATTGATTTCCTCCAGGTGTTCTGAGTTCCTCTCACAGTCAAATTACATACAGTACTGGCAGGTTTACTGGCTTCTGTAAAACTGGTCCTAGTTTGAGTGAGAGCATGTTGGGTCTGTGTGTGCCCTGCAATGTACTGTATGGGCATCTTATCTAAGGTGTATCCTGTCGTGAACCCTAACCCTGGTATACTGTAGGCTCCGGTGTTGTATTTACTCATGGTTTAGAAGTGTAGTCTTGTTATATACTATGCTTTTGCAGGAGCCTAGGCTGTGATGGGCATTATAGTGTTGATGACTTGAAACTGACTCCAGCTAACCGATGATGCATTTTCAGATTTTATTTTATAGTTTTTATTAGTTTAAAGGTTTGCTTTTTGCTCTTGAAAAGCCCTTAACATGGATTGGGAAAAAAGCTAAATGAAGTGATTAGTGTTGTCCATTTTTAGGTAATACAAGCAATATAAAGCAAGAAAAGAGGCCACAATGTGCAGTGCCCTCCAAAAGCAACATTTGTGTTTGCTTTACAGTCTGCAATATTTGCACAAACTAAAGAGGTTTGAATTATGCAACCAAATGCTGAGTTTCACTGAATGTGTTCCAACACTTATCGTCATTTGACATTACAAAGCATAGTTCCATTATAATATGATCAAATGTATGTATAACATACTATAAAGTAAAATGTGTATTGTTCTTGTTTTCAAATTAATTAAATGATCACAAATATCAGTTGACTGTAAAGCAAAATGAACAGTTTTAACTTTGTTGTCTGAATACTTTAGTAGGGCACAGTAAAGATAAAGAAATTAATGAATTAGTCTAAGAGAGTTTTCAGGTGCCTAAGTTTTAATTACTTTTTGGTCAACACACATTGTTCCCACACTTCCTTTTCAAAAACAATTCCACACACATACAAAAAAAAGAGTTTTCAAAAGATCTCAAATGCTGAAATCACAAACACACCCACTCACCATGGATTGATGAAGGGTGAAGCTTATTCAGAAAACAAACTGGTGAGTCACTGGCTGGAATCAATATTGGTTCATGCTGCCAGAAAAGGCCTGCAGTGTTCTCTGGGAAAAGGTGAGCCAACTGCAGGGGCAGGCCCACTCTCGAAGATGTGAAGTAAGCCAGCAACGGAAAAGATATTACAAGTTATATAGTATGAACCCCAAGAAATCAGATTTAAAATGTGATTTACTCAAACCCTTCAGACTGAACCCCATTAGACACTCAAATCTGTCACTACGTTGGAGCAATAATGCACCAGGCTAGTTATAGAAGCAAACAGTCTGCCTCAACATGCAAAACAATTCAACACGCACAAAGATGAGTATTCAAGAGATCTGAAATGTTGAAATCGCAAATACACCCTCTCAACATGGATTTAGACTCAACTAACTGTTGGGCTTCAAAAGCAAATTGCACTTTAAATGTTTAATTCTCTAACCAATGGAAAAAATGGGAGGATAGGCCAAGCACATACTGTACTGTAAACCTCATTACATGAACAGGTTGTTGATTGCTTGGTCCACTTCTGTCTTCTGTATCTACTGTATTGTCATTATACATGACTGAAGCCAGCATGGTGTCTGTTTCAATACATCCAAGGCACATCTACTTACAGTAGCTAATCAAAAGGATCCAGAAATATTAGTGATGTGGGCTAACTATTTGAAGATACACTAAGAATCATGTATTGATGTTAAGACAAAAGAAAAACTGCAAACAAAGAGGTCATTGGCTGGTTAGTTGATCATTGAACTACTAACTGAAGATATTAGGGTGAATTTCTAATATCTTCAGTTAATGTCCAGTCATTTCTTGAAGGATCCTGGATTGTATTGTCATCCCCACTGACAGGACTACAGTAGGTACTGTGGTTTGTTCTAACTCAGCAGACCGTGTAATAGGAAGTGCTCTGTGTTCTCCGTTTTAAACTGGATTCTTCATTCGTTCCATTTATTTAATTACTGATACTGAAATGGTCTATTTTAATAATAGAGCAAGATTTTTACACATCTCTTCCAGAATGTTTCTTTTGGAAGAAATCACTTAAAAGCTCAGGTCTCATTGTATCATCCATGCCATGAACTTTTAAAAAAAATGTTTTCATCCTTTACAGAGGAAGTGATGCTCGCAGAAGAAAATAAAAATTCAGGGACATCAGCATTGGATGGTAAGACATCCTTTTTATAATCAGTTTTTTTTTTTAAATCTCACATAAAGATCCACCTGTCTTATTTGGTCATAAAAAACACTGCTGCTTCATTTCTGCCAGTTTTCTTGTTTGTATCAGTGCTGAGTATTACTTCATTCTACAATATGTACAGTATGCAGTCACCATGTCCAGTTTTGTTTTCTTTCTTCTTCAACACTTACAATATCCAATGCAATTTTAATTTCTCTTTTGGTATCGAGCTATTTCTAAGTTCAGAACCAAAGCATGCATGTCTGTTTAAATATGTACTGTATGTATAGGAACAATCAGTTTAATTCCCTGTTGCAAAGTAAAAATACGTAAAAAAATGAGAGCACAGCATTTCAGTGTGGAATCTTCAGACAGACTATGCATACAGTATCTACACACCTGAAGAAGACTCCATGTACGAAAAATTGTACTTGTTTTTTAGATAAAGTTGAAAAGTTAGAGCAGGGTAATTGATACTGTAGTACTGTACATCAACACAACAGCCTTGCAATTTGTGGAGGCTTGGGGGAGTGTGTTTCGTATGCCAGAAGACTTACAAACAATGTTGGTGCATTTACTGTACCTGAAATGATGGGTCAATTGAGTTATTTTTTTCTGGTGATGGTAAATGTCTATCATTTATCATTTCTATTTGACTGAAATTTGAGTAAACATTTTGTGTTTTAATTTTGTTCTGCTGGGAGCCAGGATAAGAAGATTCACTGTTCTGAGAGCAGAAGTATGGTCTGTGCTGTGAAGGAGCTAATTTCTTTTACCGATTTATTTTACCTTTTATCAAGCAATTTTATTTTGCTTGCTTGTTGTCTCTGCTGTTGAACTGGCAACCTGTTACTTGGACAAACCTGTCAGGTACAGTACATGTAATGTCCCAAAATACCAACTAAGAAAAGGATCAGATATACAGGTAACCACTAACAGTGGATATCACTGTATACAAAACCATATTATTCAATAATTAATAATAATTAGTACTCATTTGTCACTTTCAACTAAGAATGCAGGCTGTGATTGCAGTCTAAGCTGTACTAATAAATAAGTCATTTTGCAGCAATTATGATGTCAGAAATAACTTAATCAGGGGTATCTAACCCTGATCCTCAAGAGCAATGGTTATCTCTTCAGGTGAGCTCCGAATGACTTAATTTGATGAATCTGTTGAATTAGGAGACATCAAGATTCTTTTCAGACCCTTGAGCATTTAAGGTTACATACAATATAAAGCCTGAAGCACCAGGTTTTGGTCAAGGGGGTTATTTATTATCTCTTAGTTTTTAAGACACTCCCCCTCACACAACACTCACACACTACTCAAGCAGAGAGAAGATGTATTTTAACCACTACCTGACAAGGAAACAACTTTAGAAAAAAAATCATTTTAAAGGATGTTATCTTGAAGAAAACAGAATTTAGTATAGTCCTGAAAAATTCTTATGCCAGAAGAACTAGTTTGAAACAAGTTTTTTCTCATGAACAACCTGGACTGCCAATTCCAAAAGATTTTTGTAACACCACATTCGGTATTTCATGAACTTATATCAGTTTCATACCGTATGCAGATGCATATTAAATTAACATTTAGAGACCCCATATTACTTTCAGTTGGCATTTACCTAATGAGAAGATTTAGACAACAGCAATAAAAATAATTACAATAATTAAAGACAAAACCCAAATGATCTTATTAAACGTCTTAGACATGCGCATGAGGGAAACTGCATCTTACTTGAGGAGATCATGTAAAACAAAACAAATGAAAGTTGTAACATCAATTACATACAGTACTTATTGAAGGTAAAGTAGAGTCAATTTTAGACAACAAATAATTGAATATAATAAGACATATTTTGCTGTGAATTCAATAAACAACTGCGAATGAAAGTCAATTTAAAACCTGCAAAGAAAGCATTACCTTAGTATTTACATTTGCATTTTTAATGATCATCTATGGTTTTTAAAGACTGTGTGTAATGGACCTCTGTGTGCACAAGAAGGGGGCAGCGGTCCCATTTGAACTAAGGGTTTGGGAGAGGCCTTTTCCACATTACAGCAAACCCAATTCCAAACCTCCTGCAGGTTACATACAGTGCTGTTTAAAGCAGACATTGGTGCCTCCAGGCTGCAGGGTAAGGAGAGGAAGTTGGTAGCCATAAACATGGAAGCAGAAGATAGATTGGGCAGAGGGACAAAAAGGTCAGATTTCAAGAAACCAACTCAGATCACTGAGCATCCTTGACAGCATGTATGACCCATGATGAAATCGACGGATATTGTCCAGTCAGAAGTCGGGAGAGGCTGAAACTGGCCTGCAGGGAATGACCAGGAATGCTTGGCCTGGTTGCAAGCATGATAGGCTGCAGTGTCACCCTGCATCTTCACCTGCCGGAAAAGCTCCAATATCTCCTGTACACCTGGGTGGCTAGTTGTGATATAATATTATACTGTTAGATCTCAGACCTGACAGACCTGACAGGCTGTGGGACGTAGCATGTGCCAGGTGGGGTGTCCAGAAGTGGGGGATAGTATGCCAGTGCCATCTTCACTGCCTCTTCCATGGATTGGCGATTAGCTCCAATGATGTGGGTAGGAGGAATTATATTTTTCGGCTCTCCCGAGGAGTCATCAGGGACATGTATTCTACACAGGGCATCTGCCTTGCCATTCTCCAACCTGGATCAGTACATGTTGGAAAAATTGAACCAGGAGAAATATAGAACCCAGCTTGCCTGCCTAGGGTTCAAATGTTTGGCCTTCTACAAAAAGGCCAGGTTCTTTTGGTTGATGGTCACGAGGAATGGTGAGCAGCCCCTTCCAGAAGATGCCTCCTCTCTTCCAAAGTCCCTGACCGGCCCTTCTTCTTGGTGAGGGCTGTCATGGCAGCTAATTCCAAACTCTTATCGCGGATGAAGCTGCGGCAATAGCTCACAAATCCCAAAAACTACTGGACTTATTTCAGTGAAGTGGGAGTGGGCCATTTTCATACTGCTGAGATCTTCTGGGAACCCATATGGAGGCCTTTAAAAGAGATGTGGTATCCCAGGAATGTGACCTCCAGCACATGGAATTTGTACTTCTCCAGCTTCGCAAACAGGCAACGATGGGAGAGCCGGGTCATGATTTGCTTGACATGTTGGATATGCTCAGTGTTGTAGTTGAAGAAGTTTTGTATGGTTCTATGTAGATGACCATAAGTTTGTCCATGAAAACCCTGAACACATTGTTAACAAAACATTGAAAGATGACATTAGCTGTACAGAAGCCAGAAGGTATCACCAGGTATTCAGAATAGCCTGTGCTAGTGTTGAA